GGTGCCCTCTGGGGTCGGATTTAGCCGCTCCTGATGCTCTGGTGGCGGCCGTTTGAGGTCGGATTTAGGCACCACTGCATTGGCTGCGCTGGGGGCGTCCGGAAACGGTACTCCCGCCCACTTCGAGTGTACATATTTGGCTACAGGGTGGGAGGGGCTGTTTGCTGGGGTTGCATATGTTATACACTTCTCCCAGTACCTATACCTATATTGTTCGGTGTTCGTGCGAAAGTTCATGCGCATGATAGTACTGATTAGCGGTGGATGAGGGCCGGAGTATTTAAATCATTGATATGCGCTTGTGATACTAATTTATGGATGCTAGAGACGGTATTAATTGAATTAATCGGATGCGTCGCGCTGCTGAATGAGTGACGGCAGGGCTGAGGGCGGGCTCAGCTGCACGCCCGGTCTGCCGGACCGCTAGTGTCGCGCCCGTCGGGGCACGCCCGGTCTGCCGGAGCGAGTGTCGCGCCCGGTGTGGCTGCTGCCCGCCGGGGACACAAAGGCGGCCGTCGAAATTGACGCTTGGCGGCGCTATTGGCCGACGAGCAGTAACGGCCGGCTGGTGGGGCGGATAACGGGGCTGAGCGGCACCCACCGCGGCCGGCGCCACCCGCTCCTGATTGGAAGGCAGACGAAAAGGCCACTTCCAGCCCACTGAGTGGTTGTAATTGGCCGTTAGCTCTTACACATGGCCGACGTGTCGTTAGCGACCCTGGGCCCAATTAAAAGGAAACAACCGTCGGCGACGGCCGTGGTATGGTGTATAGAGAAGGATGGTTAGTGCTAGCGAGCACTTCTTTCACGTGAATCTAAGCACATGAGACCCTGTGCTGCAAGCTATTCATGTTCTCACTATACTTTGTATATGTTTTTTTTTTGTGTTGAGATGTGTTGTTCTTTTTTTCAGTCGCAATTTTTTTTTGTCTTTTGCTATGGGCGCTTTCACGTTTTTTGTGTTCCTCTGTCTCAGGGAAAGTTTTTGTATCGCTCTGTCCGAGGAATAGTGCCAAAAGGCAAAATTTATACGCCAGACATCCCCTTTTTCGAATCTTTCTATTTTTTAACACTTCAAGTAACTTGGCAACCGACTATCGTTCAAGTTTGAATAATTCCCATCAGCCCAAAACATTGCAATAATGCTAAGTTTGTGTAACATCGCACCTAATGCGCACTTATTTTTCTGAACTGCACTTAATCTTGACGCACCAAAGGTGAAAAACTCGCTTAAACCTCGATTAATTGTTGCTAAAGCTGTTTGCGCAGCACTTTCCGGACTCATTGAGAAAGCTCCAACTTAGCTCATTCCTCTGTCAATCCGTGGCGCAGCGGCGCAAACAAGTTGCCAGTGGCTGGCTGTGTTTGCCTCAGCGGAGGTCCATTTTCGGCCGCGCCGGCCCACCACCTGTCTGTGACAGCACCGCGGAGGTGCCGGCGCCCGACGGCAAAAACTCCGCTGCTACCCACTGAAGACTTGTGCGCCGCCTTCACGGGCCAAAGTTGGTCTGAAGAGAGAACCTAAGCACCGGGGGGAGGTGCGCCTGACAGGCGCGAGCGTGTTTGGCTTCTGTTGCCGCCTCGAGGCGGGCGGGCCACGCCGATGTCTATTAAATTCTTGTTCGGCTTCTTTCGGATGGCCTTTGAATGGCAGCGGCTGCTAAAATATTTGGACAGTTTGGTGTTGCGGATGAAGCCTTGAGCTTTTTTTTCTTGGTGGGTTACTGGTATTGCCTTCTGTATTTTGCGATGGGAAACGATGCAACTTGTGGTTTATCCGTAGTGCGCTTTGCAATTCAAAAACTCCCAAAGCGACTTTTGTTCCGTTCTTATATCTTTACCTGCGTGTCAAGGAAAATCTCACAAACCGCCGTTTCGAGTGGAAAGACCGGCCCGATCCCGCCTCTGCGGTCAGCAGTAAGAGGACTGCGGGAAGCTCTGGGCCCTCCCTCGTGTGCCAGGGGAGACCCTGCTTTTTGGAATCAATCCCATTGTCTCCGAGTGATCCCGGCTCGGATCGGACCAGCGAAACCATCAGATGGCCTACCGAAGAACCGTGACCTGACACGGGGAGGTCAGCTGAGTGTGAGTGACTCACCGGGTGCTGTGATAGGTCAGGAGAGGTTTGAGAAAGAGCTGGAGAGAGTGAAGAGAGAGAGAGAGAGAGAGAGAGAGAGAGAGCGAGAGCGAGAGCGAGAGCGAGAGCGAGAGCGAGAGCGAGAGCGAGAGAGCGAGAGAGAGAGAGAGAGAGAGAGAGGGAGGGAGAGAAAGATCCTATTTGACAAGTGACCCTAACCCACGGGCTGGTGCGGTGGCCACTGGCCACTGATGGCGCCAAAGCTGCCGTCGTAGCCACCCCATGAATAGCCGATGGGGCCGGGGACGCGGCTGCCGTTGAGCGTCCCCCGGTGGTTGCCCGCGCCAGATGGATTGCCCGACTGCTGCCCGGTCAGGCGACGGACGGCGGCCCGTGGACTGTGGACGGTTGAGCTGTGGTCAGTGGTGGACGGCTGTGGCCAGTGCTGGACGTTCGTGTCAGAGAGACGGACGGTCGAGGTCAGACTGGTGGGCGGTCGTAGACAGGTGTCACTGGTCTGGTGTCACTGGTCGGTCACTGGTCAGACTGGCTGACAGTGGTGTCGTGGTGGCTGACGGCTCGTGAACACTGGGAGTGGGGACGATTGTGGTCAGTGACGGAATGCCGCCGTGAATTTTCAGTGCTCCCGCAATTGGCCGCCACCGGTTTTTGGTCTCTCGAAGGTCTGTGTGGGGTTAAGATTTGGGAAGCTACAGTTAATCCATTCCTATAGTTTGCTGGAAAAATTGAGCAGAAAGGAAGGAATAAAGAAAATAAATGCCTACCTAAATAAATAGCAGCCGTGTGTCGCAACCGCAACTCAACGCGGTTTCCCGGACCGTTACGTTGCATTGCTCTCGGAAGGTGTTGTCAGCGTTAGACGCAGGAAGCTTCATTATGCAGAAGTTCTGGAAACGGAAAGTGCGCACATCGCGCTAGAATCCAAATGGTTTGCGATTCTGCTCAGCCTAGAGAATATAAGAACGATAAGATATAACAAGAGATATAACATAAGATATGTATAACAACGCTCTTGATACTCGCGCTTTACGTCTTTAGAGGTGAACCTTATGCGTGGCGGCTTTCTTGAAGGCCCTTCTATTAATGGTTGACGAAAGCTATGCTGCTCATTCCATACACTGAGTGACGGTGTATGTATAAGTGAGCGCCTAATTACTATTCACTGGCTCTATTTGATGTATCTCGATCTCCGGGAATTTGCACATCCGGTGCCCGTCACTGCCACTGCGCCATTCAGACACTTCATTCATACTGCCGCCGACACGGACCTTGACTCCCGGTATTTTCAGCTTTGTGGGGACGTGTAGGTGTGGTGTTCAGTCGACCGAGCTGCTGTGTGAGCATTTTTGACCGCCATTCTCGGTTGCGGCGCCGAGATGACTGCCACCGCCCCCGTTTCCTCGCCGCGGCGCCCGTCTCTATTCAGCGAGGCGTTCCTCTCTGCTGATGACTCCCCTAATCTCGTTGCAAATCCTTCGAAGAGGACGCAGCGGGCAAATTGGATTAAGTTTTTGGGCCTCGTCGCGAATTTGCATGTGAAGTCAATTTGAATGCCTTCTGCCGAGTGTCGGCAGAGGCGACGAGAGGCTGCGGGGCGGAGTCGCAGCTCGGCCCAACTTGGGCGCGCTGCAGCGCTAAATTAGTGGTGCAAGTTTGCTGTGCCTACTGACGAAAGAACCCAGAGACTTGTGGCGCTTTGTAAAGAAAACAGAATAGCCGGCTACGGAGCTCGGATAGTTCTTGTAGATTAAGTCGTAAAAAGACTCCATTCTTCAAATGCTTTCTTTTAATTACCTTAAGTCTCGCGCGCACAAAAGTCAATCTTCTTGACAGCGCTTGCAAATTGTTCCCTTCCACGAAAACCTTGGTCGTTTATTAGGTGATTATTATGCAATTAAGAGGAAAGATTATCGTTAAAAGATTCTCTAAAGATTCTCTTAAAGTAATGCTTATTTTATTTCCCAGATGCATGTGCTTGTGTACACCTAGGTATGCAATTTGTCATCTATATTTATTGTTTAAAGCGCCATGAAGGCGAAGCTTTCGCTTTGTATGCCGATCGATAATGTTGCGCTGAAATAATTCGATTCCCCATATTTTGCATTTATTGCTGGTTTTCACCATAACTGGAAACTATCGTTGTAGTGACTGGCTTCGGTTTTAGCGCCCTGAAACCTATAATCAGCTTTACTCGAGCTGGTTAGAGGCTGGGTAGTCGTGTCATCACACTCCTCATTATACTTATCGCTTGTAGAGGCCAGCTGTTCATCGGAACGGAACTTCCCAGGGAAATTATAATTTCTGTTGCGATAGCCTTATCGAGCGTTGCTTCATGTTCTTGATATGTTCTTACATCGATGGCATGCCATCTTCTGCTCCTCCGGCGAGTTATTGGCTACTGCAGTCTTTGAGAGATCCTGATCAGATGCTGTGCAGTCCTTCCGCTAACTGCAGAAACGAGTCGCTCAAAACCGGGCGTGATCTCGCCGTCAGTGGGAGCTTCCTAGACTGCCGCTAGATGGCAGGGGGGTCAAACGCCTGAACTTATGCTGTTCCGCAAGACTGATAACCGGTTTTAGTTGAGCGCGGCAACGTGGGTTGTAGTCATCCATGAGGATGAATAGGATAATCTGAACTAGCGTTAACTTTAGAGACTCGGTGATGAGCTATGCAGTTTGAATTAACAATTTATTTCATCCTCGTGTAGTCGGGTCACGCTGTTGCCAATGTCGCACGCACTTTCTTGGCGAGTGTCTGGCACGTGCTGCGCCCTCAATGAACTCACTTTGTCGGACTCAGACGCCGCAGTCTGCCCGGCGGGGTAAGTTTCCTCAGTCAGTTCAGTGCTCCCCCGCCAGCAGAGCCGAGTTGTAATGCTAACGCCGTGTCCTCTTGGTTTCAGAGAAGCCGCGTATTGATTTCGACGACTGCTCGCAGAGGGGTGTAGCGTTTGGACGGCTCAGCGAGACATGAGACGGAGGTGAGTTTCGCAGCCTCAGGTTAGGTGGAAGAGGGCGAGATAGGGAGGGCTATGGAAGAAACGGAGGGGACGGAAAGGGGCGGCCTTGGGAGGGGCGGGAAGGAGACGGCTGGCTCAGGCTGGATGCTTGTGATATGATGAACGGTATGGAGAGGCTGGGTATTGTGAATGTAGCCTGTGAGTGTATCGCCACATAGGACAGAGCACTGGGCAGTTACAGCGGTTCTAATCGTTACAGGCGATGCTAAGGGACAAGGGTCGTAAACAGTTTTCAATGATCGGTTGGTGCTTAATGTCGCATAACGTTTGTTGCCCTTAGAAAGAGCATAGTGATGTGATACATGGTAGCGACGTAGCGACATAAGCATCCTTATATTGGGTGCATAGTAATGTCGTTTCCTTGCGGCACTAAACCCAGCAGTTAAACAAACAGAAAGGTCTGTCTGTAAGCAAGCGAAAGACTTCGACAAGATGGGCAGTATTGAGCTACTCCTTTCCTTGACTTCTGGGTCCCCTGGAATCGTTCTGATTATTGTGAATTTATGTGAGGCCTTTCTGGCATAGTTAGATGAATAATATCGGCCGTCCCACTAATGTAACTGCGACCGCAATAATTAGCTAATGGAACACATCAGACTGCTGTGGCTGGAACAGATTTATTGCTGTCAGGCCGTCGGCTGCATGCAACATTTTACACTTCACTTTTATCCAAACTTGTATTCGGAACGAGTTCACGTGAAGGCTTTCAAGCGAGCACATTTTCCTGAAGTAGTAATGGCTGGTGTTGTAGTTCTAACAGATTTGCTAATAGAGCTCGAACGCTTTATCTCGTGCAAAGCTGGATACCCACGAGAGTCCTTTTGCGAAGTAATCATGCAATGATGGTACATAATTGACTTGTGGAGCCGGAGCCGACTGCAAAGTTAGTCTCCTTTTAGTGCTGAGAGAGATTAATGACGAGAGGCCGTGTTGGCGCGTCGCGCTGCAATTGAGTACCGCCTGCGGCTGGTGATTACCGACATTAGCTAATGAAACAAACCGGGCCGGCGCGGCGGCACGATTCATGGCCGGCCAGCCGCCGGAGGTCACAGCTGTACCGAGCGACCTGACCGTGCCACGTGGCCGCGCCCATAACACCGCGCCACACAAATGGGCACCAGTGTAATGGCCCGCTGTAATGGGATAACTGCACAGACTGCACCATAATGCCGATTGTGGAGGGCGGGGGGGGGGGGGGGCAATGACACAGGACTAGAAGAATTTTCTGGGTCTGACGACCAGGCGCCGGGCTGTCTGAGGGTATCTGGGACAAGAGTCGGTGGAACAGTCGCCGTGCAACAGACACTGCAGCTGACTGCTCCCCGCCGCCAGCTGACCGTGCGACAACCGCTGGGGGCTGTTCAGCGGAGAAGACAACCACCAAACGTAAACGTGAATTGCTTGAGGTTCCTTTTATGTTATATTTATATGCCTACAAAGGGTTCCATTTATTAAGTCAAGTCCTAAGTGGTGTCCTACATAAAGCTTTTTTGGTTTAAAACCCCAAATAAATCGTGACCTGCGTTTTTCTGTCGCAATTTTCGTGCTACCGGCGTTCTACGTGTGCCTTGAATACTGATGGGGCTCGGCGGCGTCAGAATAATTAACGGTGAGTAATTTATGGGTCGGCCGTCCGAAGAGCAGGCACGCGTCTCCGCTCAATCTCGACCCGTCGTCAGCTGGGGCAAAAAGCGGCCGGGTAGTGAGACCGGGGACATTTTCCGGCTTGCCGGCGGCGGCGCTCAGCCTTCCAGCAGTGATCAGGCGATGAAAGGCACCCCGCCCCGTGCAGCGCTTCCCTTCGGCTTACGGTCGTACTTCGGCCAACCGGCCACCGCTTCAGCCGGCCAGAAATACTCTGAAACATGTGTCATCGAAACACCTTATGATATAACTATGATGTAGTTTTCAAAGAGCCTTGACGGAGTAGTGAGGTCAAATGTTGCCTCGGCCACATTTACATATCTGCCTAGGCCGCATTTCCGTTTAGCCCACAACTTCAACGAGCGGTTGGAACGGCAGTCGAACTTCGACGACATTCAGGTTGGGCTGACTGATTGCCACCGGCTGATCGCTGATTGCCGGATGACGGAACCACCGCCCGCGCCCGCCGAAGACTGGCGACATCTAACCACGGACCTTTTCTCCCTGACGGCTAACCGCTGACTTTCGACTGCTGACTTCCGACTCTGCCATCATCACTGTTAGCTGCTGGCTACTGAATGCTTACTACTTAATACTGACTACTGGGTAGGGACTGCTGGCTACTGGCCTCTGACTTCTGACCCCTTTCTGACCCCCGACTTCTGACTTCTGACTTTTGACCTCCCCCCTTCTGACCGCTGACCGCCGACCACCGATCACTTCCCTCTGACGGCCGGCGCTGTCGTGGTCACGCGTCCATTGGCGGCCGGTCGACGGCGGATCTATCGAGCGAGCCGCACTCCGCGGCCGCCGACATTGCTATTCCGGGTCGGGAGGCGGCGGTGACCGGTCGCCAGCATGACAATCGCGCCCGACGAGACGACCCGTGCAGCGGGCCTCGGGTGACCGCCGAGTGACCTTAGTCGGGCTCTTAGATGAGCCGCACAGGTGGGTATTAGGCGGACTGCGCCGACCAGGAGGCATGTGAATGGTCCCAGGTGGACTCGGGATGGACCTCGGAAAGTCCGGCTGAAATTTAGATGAACTGTCTTGGACGGTAGCGAGCTGATTCACTGCAGGCGGCTGGACACTGATGAAAAGGAATCGACCGCCCACATGACTCAGTTGAGAGGCGTTCCGGGCTCCGAGCGGCCCGTACACACGCTACAGTATAGGGAGGCGGCCGGCTGAGGCTGTCACGTGTGTTTGGTGCTGCAGCCCTCGAGTGAACCAATAGATCCCATATGGAGCTGCTGGTGGGTGGCCGCCGGCGGAGCTAGGTAAATTTGGCAAGCAAGGTGCTTTCGATGAAATTGTCGAATGACGAGCTTTCAATGCTTAGCAGATTATTATCATCATTATCAGCGACTACTTATGTGTTCGCGATAAGTAGGTATGTCCCTGCAATGAAGACATCTGCCCGGGCAAATGTTCTGATGCATTCCATCGATATCTACGCTGGCATACCATAACGGTTGCAACACTGGCATCTCGCACACATTTCATCACCTTGTCATCGTCTGTCTCGACGACAGCACATCGACCAGTCGCATATGCCTATAGACCCACGTTCCATAGCTGCTCGACGCGTTATCGAGTGGGTAGGATATCAAACTTCTGAGAACGCCAGGTGACTCACACACCCAGTCATCGCGACAGCAGGAGAGCGAACATCAACAGCCCTTGGAGGCGCTGCTGAGGTGATATTCACTCCACATGATTCACTCAATTCGGTTCAAAGTACTCTGTCTTCGCGTGGGATGGATTGACGCGGCACAGAGGTCACCTAGGCTCAGTGAAGGTTGAGTTGACTCAATGAATGCCATTTCGACGCCACGAATGCCGTCTCTTTAATGGAGGTCACTCGTCTCGGCAGATGTCGTTGATGGCAGCGCAGCGTCTCCGCCCCTTGCTGCGTGGGCTTTTCAGCAGCTCCGCGTTGGTCTCTGATTGTGATGGTGTGCGTGCTACCCGAGAAGTGTCCGATTATTTCGACCTCCGCTCACCGCCTGTTGAGAGGACCGATTTAGGCAAAAACCAAAAAAAAAAATCTGTTTTTACAACCGGCCGCACACTGCAAGCGTGCTGACAACTAGTTTTTGTCGAGATATTCTTTTTAGTGTTAAAGTCATAGGCAATAGACATTGATTGTAAAGTCCACTTATTTAGCATTTATCGTCCCCTGATTGCTGTTAACCGGTTAGCCAGAAACTCTATTCGGCCATTGTTCCGGTGAGCAGGTGGGTATGGGACGGAAACTGCGCTCTGTTGTCACTCGCCAGTGTTTCGGTAAATCAACACCGCCCTGTCTACCGGCCAGCATTTCCATACCGGAATCCCTCTGACTCAGGTGAGACCTCGCGACTGTCTGACGAGCCTGAGACGGGCCGTTAAACTGTCGTAACATTATGCGCGGCCCAGCCGAGATGTCGGCCAACTCGAGCCGCCGTCAGCCAGGGCGAGCTCGCCGCTCCGGGCCGGTCAGGGTTTCCAACTCCGAGCTCCCCCGGACGAAGAAATTACACGGTCAAAATGCACTTGCCGACACTCTTGGACAAAGTTCTGACGCTGTTAGCGACACGTCTGTTGAAGGCCCAACCTGTCCAAGAATCAACAGATCGATTAAGTGACCAGCTTTGTCCTACCTCACCGAGTGACCTTTGTTGCAGCAAACTTCTGGGTGAACTCGCCTTGTTGATTGTATCTGCTGCAACGGTATGTCGGCAGTGTCGTTAGCTCAGTTACCATCACTACCCGCCGTTGACGCTGTCTAATGTCTATATCCACTAGCGATGTACCGTGTCCATTCCCCCGTTAGGCAGCCCCGCTGACCCGCCGCGCCGGCCTGCTCAGTACCCGGGCCGATGCCGGGGTCTCAGGTGGGGCCGGTCGGCAGGTCCGATTTCACAGCGGCCCCGCGGTGATCAGTCCGGCGCCGACCGATTCGACCGGCCGGCACGGAGCGGCGAGGGCGCGCGTGCAGCGCCCGGCCTCCCGTCTGAATGTCAGCCGGTCCGCGGGCTTTGGATCGGCTGATGACTTCGGGGAGCCGTGCTGCAGCCCTGGCGCGCTGAATGCCCGCGGGCTCCGCCGATCTGGGCCCCGTGACCTATGTAAATGCCGGCAGGTACCGGGCCGGTCAGAACGGGCTGGTCTGGGCCGGTTCAAACGGAACCTTTTTCATGTTTGGGCCAGATTGGAGTTGACCTGAATCGGCTGCCTTTTTAGTAGTCGGCAATAGAGTGTAAATTCTGCTACATCAAAATGTGTTCGTTTGTCAGGTTTTCCGTGGTTGACGAAGATAACTTGAGAGTGAC